TCAAATATTCAGATATCGAAGATGATTATAAATTTGATAGAATCGATATCCCATCCCGCGAAAGTCGAAGTTAATAATAAAGTTATCATTTGTTTCTTGTAAAAAATTTAGAAAATATTTTAAATGTTCTTTAGAAAATATATTGGTTACATATTTTATTTCTTGAAACAGGGGAAGATTTTAAAGTTTGTTTTAAAGTTTCATACTCACATATTTTACTTACACAATAACTAAAAAAGATATAATAAATAAGATGATTTTTCAAAGTACCCTCTAGCAAACTATTAACCCTCAAAAACTGTAGAAAAATTGAGGACTGATATACAACAATATCTTATTACACTTTTTGCCGTTATTAAAATATATAACAAAGAAAAGAATTCTCATGTTTACCCGTTTCCTTCTAAACAAAATTTGACTCACAAAATCGATATTGGCTGCATTCCAGTTTAACAGTCGATTTACACTTAGTTCAGTACAACTGTTAAGTTTCAAATATCGGGTGATGCATTGTCGAATAAAACATAGGAAATCCCATGTAAATTTATAGGTTGCTGTACATTTTATGGCAAAGTTGTAATATAACTTTTTGAAGACTAACTCATGGACCGAGTTTGAATGAATTTTAATAAGCCAATCTTCAGTTACTGAATTAAATATAATAGCAACATTAGAAACTTTTTATATTTTAGGTAATAAATCAATAAAAAACCAATAAAATACATTTTGACCATGACATCACGAGAATTCGTGACAGTAACAATATTTTTATTTGTGATTGTTATACGTTATTAAACGCGCTTTAAAGCTAAATATGTATCATTCGATTGAAGAAAAAGTAACCATAATTAAGTGGTATTATGCAGGAATCAGTCTTAGAGCAGTATCTAAGATGTTTTCAGTTTATTTTCCTTCTAAAACTATACCTTCGATTTCTGCAATTAAACGTATTATTACCCAATTCGAGTCCAAAGGCACGGTAATAAATAACTTCAAATGTTCAGATACAAATGTCGATAATAGAGCAGAAGAAAGAGACATTCTTCGACAAGCGGTAAATCCCGACCAAACCACAATATATATTTCCTATAAATACGAAAAGCACCAAGAGCTACGGAAAGACGACGAAGAAAGAAGAGTAGACTTTTGTTTTTAAGTGATGGAAAAAGCAAATAATGATAGGGATATAAAAAAATATATATGTTTCAGCGAAGCCAATATCCTTAAAAAATAAATGTTATGGTGGGAATTGGGCCATTTTTATGGACTATAACCTCACGGCAGAAACCTATTTGGAACTTAAAAATTTACATGGGATTTCCTATGTTTCATTGGGCAATGCGTCACCCGGTATATATTTTTCAAAATAGTTGATAAAATAAAGAAAAAATAAAAATCAATAAATTTTTGTCTTCTACACAAAAATATTGCAAAACATTTCAAGTTTCTACAAATGAAAACATCGCAGTTATTCACAATTAACTGGAGAGATATTTTGTTCAAGAAATTAGTAGCAAAATGTTGATGCACCCTAGTTTCCTCCACTGATATTTTTTGTCACACCTTTAAAAACCAGCCCGATATAATATTGAGCTTCAGTTTCAAAGAAAAAGTACTTAACATTTAAATTCCGCGACTTTTTAACATTAACGAGGTTACTAATTAATACGCCGACTTGTTTTTCTATGTTTTCCTCCGGCGGAAAATTTTAATTAATTTTTTCTTCTCATAAAGTTGCTGAAACTTTCAGCGCTACCGCTGAAATCGATCGAGCCACTTTGTTACGTCTTGAGCATTTTTTCGTTTAAGCTGCTTAGCCAAAAACATTCTAACGAATTTTTACAAATCAATACTGAAAGGAGAACAGAAATTCATTTTATTGTAAATTATAAACTTTTTCTCTGGCTCGCAGTTACGTTTTTGAAAACCCCTAGAGTTAAGAACATATTAATACTGAGACTAGTAATCTAATGGCTTTAAAAATACTTTATGGCTGGTGATACAGAGATATTTGGGTTGTGGAGAGCGCTGTCCAGTCTCGCTGGTCTGAACAAAATGTTGCTAAATAATTCACCTATTTAGTATTGTGTCATTGTTCGATCGGGATTAGAGACCCGCAAAATCCGCAACGTGCTAACCGACATCCAACGACTATCAACTAAGTTTGTTCTTATTTATTCAGTATAATATTTTACAGAAAAAAAGGTTATAACTTTAGAGGTTATACTTTTCATGGCTAAGAACTAGTGGTCTTTTTGGCACCTCACACTCCGTATACCTGTTACGATTTTTAGAATAGATTTTTCGAAGATTCTTTTATAGAGCCTTAATGTAACAATAACAATTATACATTTGCACTGTTTTAAGAGTTTAAATAATTTGTTATAAACATGACGGTGGAGTGATAAGGGTGAGGATATACAACTGAAAATTCAAATTTTACACAAACTATATTTTATTTCACTCAAAACGGAAAAGCCTGCTATGACAGTTAATTACAAAAACTCATAATTAGGTTCTGGTTAGTTGGAAGCCAGTACAAAGCAACACCTGAAAGCATTTTTTGATTAAAAATTAAAAGTCCATACCTTATTCTGTTCTAGCGTTATAACTTTGGACTGATCGGTACACGAACAAAGTGAGCGCTGGTGTATGACTTTATCGGATATTTACCAATCGAGAAAACCCAAAGAATTGTAAAATTTCCGTTCTATTTTGAAAAATCGTTCGATCGTTCACATTTCGGCGAATTTGAATGCGCCAGTATCAGTCAGACTTGAATTTTGCGAAAAGCGCATCGAAGTGGAAGAATAGTGCATACTGTAAAACGAATATTCCCATTTTACACGAAAAGTTGCGACACAGGTGAAAATATCCAGTAGAAAGCATCCGAAAGCATAGCCCAAACAAATAAAAAAGCTGTAGTCGAAAACAAAAATTGAATTGCGATGCTACAATATAAAATGGATATCTTGTAAAAAATTCGCTGGCGTTTTAGACCTTTCCCAACTTACCGTTGTGTTTTTTTTTAAGAAAAAGATATATTTATTTTTAACGAGGACCTGGTCAAAATCTCGACTCGACTTATTAGTGAAAAAATTTCCATGAATTGTTTCTGCTATTCCTAGAACAAAATAAACAATTGAGTTAGGGATAGTGCCGAAAATAGTAACTTTTTATGCCAAAGCAGAACACTATAGTGCAAAACCGCAACCTTTAAACTCTACTAATAATCGAGATAGCCAGCAAAAGCGTAGAAAATTGGATACCCATATATATCCGACCCTTTCATCGCTCGGGATCTGCAAACGTATTTAAGTTGAGCTTTACAAAAGCTTTTAGCGCAAAGCTAGACGGGACGACCTTTTATGCTCACCGCCAACCATTAAAACGCGTAAGGAGAAGATACAGCCATTCTACAGAAGGGACTCCTACGCGCCACTTAACTCTTAATGACTTAATCAAATTGGTCGGCGGCTTCACGCACAACCGAGTGTCTAATAGATGCCGAAAGTAGGTCGCTCAAGCTGAATGATTTATTATAGAATGTCGGTCCGCCTAAACCAATCTCAAAAAGCGGTTTGTTTTACTTGACTCGTCACGAACCGTATTCCCTTAACCTGTTGAGCGTCGTATTGACGATATCCTGCTCTTAAATGCCCGGAGATGGACGTGTCCTGTGTTGCCACAGTGACGAGCAAGTATTTTAAAACTCACTCGACTTAAACAGTGTGCTAAAGATCCCATTCGACCTAAAGCGAATGCAAATTGGGTCATTTCGTGACCTTAAAAGACATTACCAGTTTTTACTAAGTTTTTTAAAGTTCTTGTATTACACCTGATCAAGCTTGTGAAAAGGAATGGCAATGTTTTGTATTCCTTCTTTTTCAGTGAAATTTTAAAAAGTATATACTGAAAATTTAAAAAATTAAAATTAAGTTTAAATAATCTGCAAGACCCAAACTAATCCAAAACCCCGGTCATGTTTAATAATTAATAATAATAATAATAATCTTTAAGTCAATCATAAATAGTTGCCATATTTCAATTAATTATTAACATCAAAAAAATATTATAATATTTCAAGCAAACAACATTTTATTTTTATCCTTGTATATATTTTTTTTCTGGGTTAAGCACAAAATAAAAAATAGGCGATTTAAAAATGAAAGCGCGAAAGGATTTTACTACAACTTCAAAGCGTCAAGAACGAGAAACAAATTTCAAAGTTTCCGTTCCACACAAATTTGAGTTCTAAAATCATCAATCAAATCAATTTTTTGCACTATTTCATGAACTGCATGTTTTTAAACAGTACTTTCAACATGATTCATTAATCGTTTCATAAACGCAAGGTAGATGGAAGACAGAAATAAGAATTTATGCGACAAACAAATAACAACTATAGATAACTTTAAGGGATGGACATGACATGGTACAGACATTTAGATTATTAATTAGTACTGAAATTTCGTAATTAGATTATTAATTAATCACCAGTGAAAAACAAACAATACAAGTTATAAAAAAATCTTTGGATTTTAAAACAGTTTTTTCTTGGGTTTTCTGTTCTTCGTTGCTAATTATTTAAAACTGTCTCAAGACGCCCTTCTGAGCCATTTCTGTATTGATGAATTATCTCTTGCAATACAAAGCAACATATCCGTCATTCCATCTCCTTGTTTTCTCTCATTTACCTGTTCATTGATCTCTCAATATAATTGATATGATGAAGGGGTGTTTTTGTAAGATCTTTCATTTCTGGTATTGCTACCTTATTACTTGTTTTCATATTTCTAGTCTCACCTCGGAGATATAGGTTAGCATAGTAGTTCTTCTATAAGGACTTTATGGTCGCTTTATAGATTTATTGTGAGTTCGGTACTAATAAAATAAAGAACAGCGCAAATAGATCAAACATTTTTAATAAGTGAGAAACAATATTTGTAAAGCGTATTTATAGTTTACCTTACTCTTACTAAACTTACTCTATATACGCGTAATATATGGTTTCCCTTTAAAAAGTAAACAGCATAAATCGACTGATTGACAACGGTCAAATATTTTCGGGACTTGGAAAACTGCAACTAGAGCCGGCAACGTCGTTGATTTCGCGATCTATCGGACCCCTTTTCCACCACTCTTCTCAGTACATTTAGACCCTCCGCGTGAGTGCCCCAGCGAAAATCACTCGCGTCGCCTACACTGTAAACAATATGGCGGCGACGCGGCAGACACGTTGCCTCAAAAGTGCCGAATAATTCAATTTCTCGAGGGGTTTTTTTCGGTTACGACTTTTCGGACACGTCAGAAAATGTCAGGAATCAGCCCCGCTAGCTGCTGGATTACGCACAAACGGTTGGAACTCTGGGCGAAGGCTGCCAAGGAGCGCGCATGGGGTAGCAGGAACGGAAGCAACAGTAGCAGTAACAGTTTGGAGGTATTTGCCTTTGGTGGCGGCATTGGGGTTAGGGATGCGCTTAGCGAAGACTTCAATTTTAATGTCGACACTGTGTGTTGACACTAAAGAAATCATAAAATCAACGAACATTTTTGTGGTATTTAAATTCGGTTATATAAAAACCTTAATAAATCCAATTTTGGTATGGCTTGTGGAGTTCGTCTATCAAAAACTTTAAATCAGGACAAGGGCACGCGTTTCCTATCGACCAGGTGTTCAAGTGACGTCATTCCTGTTGTATTAATTCTAAATGCAGGTGTCAATAATATATTCTACCTGGTTTCGGTTGCCAAATGCACCAATGGAATCACATGTTATCGCTTTTGGAAATTCCCTAGCTGAATTCAATTATTTTATTACTTTATTTGGATACGCTTCAGAAATGAATGAAATTGTAATATATTGTAGTTAAACATATTCGCTCACAACAAATTGTCCTAACAATCAAATTTTCATGGATAGTAATGTTGTTGGAGAACAATTAGTTGCGTATATTTATTTATATTCGACATCGACATCGTATCCCACTTAAAGATTTGGTTTTATTTATTTTTTGAGTATTCCTCAAATATAATATAATAATAATAATAATATAATAATAGGGTGCTGTTATGCTATTATGTAAGAATGGCAAGCACAGTTGTTGTCAAAAGTCGTTAATATTAAAATGTCTCTGTGCAAATCATCCGAGAAATGACTTACCCTTTTACGGACTAGTTTTTAATATGTTTTCGTGGGAAGATTAATAGATTTTGCTAAGCTGCCAGTTAAAGGACTCGGGTTTTTATGTTTTAATATTATTTACTGCCATGTATTACGTTACGCATTCTTATAACACGGATTAATTCGCAACTGTTTTTACATAATTTCGAAACAGAATCTAATCAATTTCTGACATTTGCTCGTTATATATAAGCCATATTTCATAGTACACATGAAGTTTCGAGTGTTTTTGTGCACAACGATTAAATATTTATTTTTCATTGGTGTTTGAATGGGTATCAATAAAAAAATTGCGTTCTGGGACATCAAAAAGGCACGAGCGGAGCGAATGTTAACTAAACGAGTGTTTCAATAAGTTAATAACGTGTTTTTCGAAAAAAATTAAAGCCCAAATGTATTCATTAAGTGACTCGATGAATGTAGAACTGTTACCTTAATGAAGCAGATGTTTTCAAGCAACACTCAGCGGGCACCTGGTTAGCGTTTAGTTGGGTAATATAGCGGAGGGAATAGAAAATAGTATATTATGCAACATGTGCAGTAAACAGCACTTGACTCACGAGTTTATTTGATACGAGCGGAGCGAGTGTTTAATAAACGAGTGACTTAAAAAGTTTACCGAACGTGTTGCAGACTATACTTTTTCTACTACTCTTAGTTGTTGGATATATTTTCGCAAAACAACACAAATACGGTCCCTGACATGATCGTCAGAATTGACAAACGTCAAAAATCCAAGGCGTGGGAAATATTTCCGAAAACGTCCGATTGCTCCCAAACCCGTGCGATAAAATCCCGGAAACGTTCGAAGTAGCTCCGATCCGTGCGAAAAGAAACTCACACGGTAAAGTGACGCTTTCCGCATGCTAGATCGGCGTGTAATCAGGCATTTTACGGACGGGAGTAGAAAAACATATTATCGTTTTATTTATTTTGAGTAGAACAGCTATGTGCGTTCAACAGTGCAATTTCGGCCATTTTTACATGTAAATTCCCGCTAATATGAACGTTAAATTTTCTTATGGGAATTTACATGTAAAAACGTCCGAAATTACAGTTGAATTTTTATACACAGATCTATTCAGGGTCCCTATTTTCCAAAATTGATAATACGAAATGTTGTCCGAAAATTTCGTATTTCTGTCGCCTTAAATTACTTATTACAACTGACTAATAAATAGTAACTAATCAATGTTTGGTAATACTTCAAGCGTGCAATGCAAGGGGTAAGCTTAATTGCATAACTTCAATTCGACATGTCGTAATTTTGTATTTCGTCAAGAATACACAAAGGGGCATCTCTTCGTATACTCCGGATTATTATTTAATATGAATTTCGGTTTTCAGAAACATAATTTAATTTTAGTAAGCTTATTATATATACCCACTCGACATGTATTTAAACAAAGTTTCACCCGTCTTCTAATTTTGAATTTAATCACACCTAGCGAGCCAAAGTCTAACAAAACGTTTTGTCCCGTTGCTATTATTTGGCGAACACATAGCGAACTTCTACTAACTAATTCCCAGTTGCGATTGTATTTCGCACAAATATAACATTTGAAAGTAGTAATTGAAAACGCTTACTTAACTATAATAACTAAATATTCGTTCCCGACTATCATTCAAAAGTTCGTGCTTTGTTGCGACATGGATTTTGAGGTTCTAAATCTGACTACGGCGACCACCGCGCTGCTAAAATACGTTCAAATATACGTTCCGTTTCTATTATTTCAAAGAAGTTGAAAAGATATATCTGATAAGCAAAGCAATAACCATTGATTAAGTTATTCTTTTAAGCCAATAGAGCGACACGCTGCGGAAATGATGGTACTTTTAAACACAAAATTGTTTCAGAATTCTTGAGAACGCAGATATTGCGGAATCATCAAAGTCGACGCACTTGACCGCGATGGCAATATCTCCCAAAACGTATTTCTTAAGCAAAGTCTCCGAGTAAATATTTTCCGATACTCTAGTAAAACACGACCGAAGAAAATATCTTTAAATTTCAAACGGTCCCAGTGGAAAACTTGTCTGTAGATAGTAGAATTTTTCTCAAGATGAAGCGAAGAAGAAAACGGTCGGTCTGTAGTTTTTACGCTGTATCAATAATAAATATAATAATAATAATAATAATAATAATTATTATTATTATATTATATACTTTCTCTACGACCTCTAGATTTTGGATACCATTTTTGCCACACAATACAAATACATTTTGTCAGTAACGTGTTACGTTACCGTCAGAACTGAGAAACGTCAAAATACCATGACTGGCTAAAGTTTAAAGAAAACATCCGATCACACATTCGCATGACTAAGGAACGTGTACACTACAGCTAGCTAGATTTAAATTTCCCTAGCAAGATAAAATCTATTGCTCGTACACTGTGCATATTTTTTTCTACTCTTTTCTAATTACTTATACACCGATCTAGCCCGATCTAGCGGGCGGAAAGTGTCATTTTACCTTGTAAGTTTCGTTTCCCCTGGATCCGAGCCACTTCGGACATTCCTGCGATATTACTTCACGGAAATGCCCGAAGTGGCTCGGATCCGTGGAACAAGCAACTCACGTGGTAAAATAACGCTTCCCGCACACTAGATTTGACATTGTCAAATTTAAGTGGCAATCTGAAAACATTGGTTTTGAATTTGATAAGTGGAAAATCGAAGATTTTTAAATAAACAACCTACTTCGTCTTGGCAGAAAAATATTATTTATGAGTGGCTTGAAAAACAGAATCAAAAATCTATAACAAATCGGAACTCTTTTGAATAGCAAAATATTGCGTGAACATGGTCATGGGATTCTACGTCTGCCGCCATATCATTGTCGGTTTAACGCAATAAAATTCATATGGGCAGAGGCAAAATCTTATTGCAAAAACATGTGGGTGATGGTCTAAGCATGTTCAAGTTACGTTGTATCATATTATTGTATCATATTGTGCACAAGTAGTGGAACAAATCAGTGCAACATACAGAATGATTAATAATGGACTACTGGAATTGAGAACTGGTACTGGTTGTCGAAGTAGCACCGATGGCCTTTGTTGTATTCAAGGACAACTTAGGGCTTCTTAAATTTTATAAGTATCGATGAGAGTTTTTAACTTTTTGGTTTATAACATTAAGCAGTTTTTTAGACTTTTTAGTATTCGTAGTATTACGTTATGCTGTTTTATATATATAATTTTCTGTACAGTCCTTAAACTGACTTCCACTGTTTCTCCATTACTACTTTCTGGAGACTAAGTTCTTTTTCTTTTTATTCCTTGAAATAAATATAAAATAAAAATAAGTAGATGCTATAATAAATTGAACTGTTTAGTATTTTTATCAATTGAAAACTTGTGTTCTTTAAAAAAATATGAATTCAGTATATTATTAATTAAATTACCGAAATAATCAATAGAATTTAATTTTTTTTAAGTTTTTAACACCTACTATATAGAAAATATAATATAAAACTGTTTTTCTATTCTTCGCACAACATATTGATAGTCTCTGTGTTTTGCTGATTTTTGCTGGCCCGGAGAAATAGCAGACAGCGTACTGAAGAGCGAGCTGAATAAATGGCTCGTGAAGGAGTTCGTTCTGCACTGGGAGACTTTACCGGAACTGAGACAGACAGAGTTCTGAAGGATCGAAAGTGGGTTCTCAATTTCAGGAGCGCGCGATTACGAACTCGGGTAGGAATCCTAACAGAACACTGTCATCTAAGAACACACCTTCATATCATGGGGGTATTTACAAGAAGAGGAAACTCCAATTCATATCCTAACCAACTGCGCACCACCAGGCGCGGCCGATTAGGAGTACTAGGAGCTCAATTCATTGAGTCCGAGTAATTATACAAACCCTCTACGAAAGAGGTACTGTACTCGAGAGTACCGGGTTCTTCTAGGGGAGGGAACGAAGACGTTAGGGCTGACCATAAAGGACAGCGACGCAAGGCAGGTAGAATAGGAATAGGAATGTCTTCTAAAAAACTGGAGCTACTGATCAAAAAACAAGACACAAACTTAGAATGAGCGATTTCACTATTTGAAAGACTGAAAGGTACTTGGCAGTGGGTAAGAACTTCGTTTAAAATTAAAACTAATTGAAAACTCAAATTCAAAAGTAATACAATATCAGCTCGATTTCGGGTTCTGAGAGGTCCGATAGTACTTGCACCAGTAAAGTTTTAAAAATTGTCCTGGCAAATGCATATTTCACAATTACTTAATATTACAAGAAACGTTTAGAACTGTATATGCGCCCGTTGGTACATTCGATCAAGAAACTAATGGTGCAGTTAGTAATATAAATTGGAGGAATGAAGGCTTGCCGAATTCAAATTTACAAATAATTTGTTACATTAAATTGAAATACATTTTTTATTACTTCTCGTAACAAATTGTAAATGGTCGAGGAACTTCCAATTACTTTTACACACATTCTCATCAGTTTCTTGACTTGACTTTCACTGTTTATTTGACATTTTAAATGATACCATTTCCCACCCACTTCTAATTCGGTAATTCTTAATGTCCTCCGAACGCATTTCATATTAGGTTTTTTCATTGTCCAATGTGAGTTTTGGTGTTAAAGAAAGTGTGGACGCCATGCTTCTCAAACGGCACGCTCTACCTAGAGAAAATAGCCCAACAAAGACCAAGGCTAATCTCACACTGGAGCTCTCGCTAGATGACCATGATTTAGTTACATCATAGACTAATTCTAACTAGAGTGCCCTGGTGAGGGCAAATCGACGTGAAAAGTCTATAGTGGACGCATACCTTTAAAGTGACACTTTGCTTACGCCTAATCAGTACATAGCGTACTATCTAAACATTATATGAACAACTTCTATGGAAGTTTGGAAATCGAATTATTTCGAAAATATTGCTTCACGTCATGCTGTGCTTCATCGTCCTCAAACACCGAGTTTAAAAACCACTTATGGCGCACAGCGGATGCTCTATTAGAAGTATCTGGCGAACGAAGCAACGGATTTACATACAGGTTAATGTAAAAGGAGGTGCTCTATCGCTCTAATATATTTTCAAATAGGCAGTGTTACCACTTCTGTATGTCTTAGCGTCTACTTAAGAAATAAAATAAATTCTGTTCGGGTTCACCTATTTATCTCTATCCTACCGTTCTCGAAATAAAAAATAATTTTCTAGATTTTTAAATAATTTAGACCCCCGAAGAATTCTTCCTGTCCTTTATTTAAACAAAAAGTCTAACTTTTGCAGACAGCTTCTGGGTTCTTTTCTGGAATACCATTTTAGATTAAGCGTACAGTGCAAGGTTTTGTACGGCAGAAACACCATTTATTGAATTTTTTTTAATAGTACTGTTTAAAAAAATCTACCATTTTAGAATTTTAGTAAAGAAACTAACTCAATGTTACCATATGGAAGCAATTATTGTAATTCGTTTACATTCATTTTTCATTCAATCAATTTTAGTTATGACTTTATGATGTAATTAAAGTGAATTTTTGTATTTTATCATTTTCATTATAATGCTAAAAACAAAGTTATGTTTCAGTGTCTGTGGAAAATCACATTAAATTAGAAAATAGGAATAACAAAGGTTTGACAATAGGTAGGGGGGACAGGCATAGCCAGTCGATGTACAATTAAATTATAGACCATACCATACGCTAATATACATTGTTTACTGCGTTTCGCTTTACCATACATACAGGGTGAGTCAACGATAGAGTAAAGTTCATTGTCTCATTGGTTTCAAAAGTTGTGAGAAAATGGTAAATACAAATACGGAATTTGTATTAGATGCTACATGGTGTTCAAAACAAATGAATACATTTGGGTCATTTTAAAATTGAAAAAAATCTCGATTTCCTTAAATAACACACCATATATATTACTATTTTTTCTGAAAGATCTTACAAGTACTTACAACTGTACACCCTGTAGCATTAATTCAAATTCCGTGGAATATATCTTTTACGTCATCTTGGAATAACATTAAAAGTGTTAAGTTTAGGTATTAACTTTACTCCATTGTTGGCTCACCCTGTACAAGGGATGGTTAAAAATTGGTTAGGTTGGTTGGTTGGTGTTGAAAATAGTGTTACATTTTCAAAAAATTATAAAATTATAAAAATGATGTGAGATATTCTGCGCAATGGTAACTATTTTCATCGCATGCAAATATAAAAGAATCCCTTAGTAAAGAACTATCCTGTGCAAATAGTCAACGTTAAAGAGTTTTTTAATATGAATATTGGGACATCCAGTATAATACTAAATTTTGAGAATAATAGTTATATCCAAGTAGAGGGAAACTGTGAAACATGTGGAACATGTCAAAATAAATGCAGGGCGCAGCACAAATCTAAAATCTGAATGCTAACAGAAATTCCTTGCTTACTGGAACATTTTTTTCAGGATTTTAACGTATCAAAAGAGCAACTAAACGTTCAGCCGCCGCAAAACTCTTCAGCCCAGTCGATGACTGCTGAAATTATGAAAACCCCCTTAGATTTGTGTTCGTCGCCCCCGGTGGGCACGCATTCACTTCAACACCAATCCAAGTCATACCCCAGCGGGCAATCGTTGCTTTGTCGGACGCCCAGTGCCTCTAGCCAGAGCAGTTTGGACAGTACTGCTTCCAAACAGGTTAGTGTCGAAATTTCGTGTACATTTTTTAATCGACATTTTTGTGGCAATTGAGAATATTTCATTCATAGATCCGTCTCATCTTTTGGACTACGGTCGGCATGCTGGCACACAGAAATAAAGTTTGGGGTTAGTTTAAATTATTTAAACGCCCCATTTTAGTAATTAAAATTAATACACGCAATAACTTTCATACACCAAGGTTGTGTTCTAATCGAATGTCAATAATTAAGGGTGAAATTTTTGGGTCCATTTCAAAAAGAAAACTTCATACGAATATATTATGTCCTAAAAGTCTTAACGTTTGATATATTTGTAATGCCACTTTAGATATTGGGCACACATATACTATGTATCAAGAGGCATCATTTAGTGTACCACAATTTTTTTTAAATACATCGGTGGCGGGAGTACGGTAGTGTCTAGATTTTGGCAGATTTTGTACGCCACTGATTTCTCTTAAAATAAAAATGATTCTTACAATCTCCAACCATTTCTAAAGAAATTTAATTTCTTGATTTTTGTAATCCGGTTTCCGATTAGAAAAATAAAAACCTCTTTTCTGGATTCTTCTTATTCTTTTATTTCTATTGGCGAAGGCTGCTAGGATCATTAGGCCATCTTGTCTGGATTGTCGTAACAATATCGTTAATTCTTCTTCTTCGCTTTTTACAAACAGCTGAGCAAAACTACCATGGCCATTCGCCCATTACCGATGTCCATCGAGGAGTTTCTTCTCTTGGTCATAGATCAACAGTTAACAAGAAAACTATAACCAACAATTGTTCTCAGCTTAAAATAAAGGACTTTGACCGATAACAAAAAACGGCTCCCCCCCCCCCCCCCCCCCGCCCCGGACCATCCGGGCCAATCCGGCCTTCAACCGGCGTGGACGGGAAAAACAGCGGGGCCGACAACGACTACACATTTATAACTTTCACTATAAACTTATATCCATTTTTTTGGGATGATTACACAGGATTCTGTCGGGAGCGAGCGGCGTTTATACCGATATGTGAATGCTCACGATAGAATCCATGCAGAGAAATCAGTTTTTATTATTAAGTGAAAACCGTGCGAAGGACTAAAAAAAAAATTAGGACATCAAATCTGCTCATAAACGAATGCAAATGTCATTTTTTTTAGGAAACACTGTCTTTGAACAAATAATCAAATAAAAAATAATGCACTGGTTAAATCGAGAACTTTTTTTTGTGAAAAATAGTTTTTAGTCACCAACTAGTGCCCTTTAAAAAAAAAATAGAAATTTTAAGGAAATAACATAACATCCTAACAACAATATAAATAATAAACGACTTTTATTAAAAAAAACACTGCCTACTATTGTAACAATTATTAACAAAATTGTCCGTACATTAATATCAACGTTTTTGAAAAAAAAGTAGATCATAGAAACTAGATGAGTGTCCTCTACCTTGAAGGATACACGCTTCAGCACTTTTCCTCATATTGCCGCGGACTCTTTGAAGTATACCTCCAGCGTTTCTTCTTAAATCGCAGGAAGCTCACATACGATCCTTCTCTTCTCTTCTAAACTAACTAAACTAAACTTCTCTGTATTAGTATTGATAAAATTGCGTCTACATTTTCAAAATATTGACCATATGGTCGAGAATATCCATAAAGAGATGGCGTATATATCTGTCTTCAGTCAATTGCAATAAAATACAAATGTTACCTTAATACGTATTAATTAATTTTTCAAATGCAATGCGTTAATTATATATTAATGGCGGATTGATAATACTGGACATCTGATAATAGTTTTCAATTTTAATAGTATATTATGCGGTAAACGGCGCTTGACTCACGAATTTATTTGTCTCGAGCGCAGCGCGTGTTTAATAAGCGAGTGATTTAAAAAGTTTACCAAACGGGTTGCCTACTATACTTTTTCTACAACCGTTAGTTTTTGGGGACATTTTCGCTAAACAACATGTGGCTCAGATGTGTGGGGAACGAAACGGAAATGGTAAAGTGTAATTAGGTATTTTATGGGCGGGAGTTGAAAAACAACCTTTTTTAATAACACTTGCCTAGATATAGAGATATATTTCACTCTTCCTTAAAATTCATAATTTTTAACAAACCTTGTATGCGTGTAACCAATTATTTCAACCAAGTATTTCAAATTTAAGCTAACGCAGAACTGTTTTTCAAGAATAACTTGTTTTTTTTTTCATAAAACTAATAATACAAAAAAAAATCAAAAAAATTCAATATGGTAATTGGGCACACTGTATCATCATCATCTGAGGCACCAGGGACAGGTTCTTTTCTTATCATCGTAATTAATTATTTTCTGTCTTTATTGAGATTTTCCAACTACCTATTCTTTTATCTAAATAACGGAAACTATTCTTGCTTTAAAGACCTTTATCGACATTGGACGTGCGCTTACAAGTTTTGTTTCCCGTCTCTTACCTTTTTATCTTAGCCGTACACCTTGTATATGTAATTGTTACCACAGGGAAGTCATCGCGGCTCCTCACCCCAAATTCGCACTTTTGCACCGGACGGCAAAGTTCACCTACCTCATCACGGACCTCACCATTACGAAGCCTCCCACACTGTCAGTTACCCTCTGCAACGGACAACCAGTCGGTCACCATCACCTCACCGGGCGGCCTCTTTAGATATTCGTTCATCATCACCGGGTCTGGGTATGAGTCACGCGATAGCAACTACAACAGAATTGCGTACTCCTTCACCCTCACAATCAAGTCTAGCTTCGTTGACGGGTGGTTCGGGCAGTTCCTGCAATTCTCCGGTACCTGCGAGTCCGAGGACGGCTAATATAGCAAGGTTGATATGCGCTCACTTGACTAAATCAGTTAAAACGCAATTTTTAGTCAAATTTAAGATACATTAATCGAAAAAACTCGATTCTATCTTAGATGTTTATCGCCGCTCTTTATACCACCGTCCAGAGGCGCCACCCCAGACAGCGCGTCATCTGCACCTCCGGCCAGCCCCCTGGGTGCAATTCAACCGGACCTTTACGTAAAAAAGGACGGACCGCTTTTCATAGGTGAAGGCAAAGGAGGTGCCGGTCTCGGAAGACTGCACTTCCGATTGAGCTACGATTTCGACCGATCCGATTTGCTTGTTCATCTCATCGAGGGTATTTTTTTTTAATGCGTTATTGGCACATTTTTTGAAATAAGCTTCCTATCAAAACCAAAACGTACCACCAACATTTGGGTCAACTTCAAAGTTAACTTTCTCGTGAACTGCTGATTTAATTTTTTTGATATATATATATATATATATATATATATATATATATATATATATATATATATATATATACAGTGTGTCCAAGATAAGGATGCACAGCATGGGGATCTCGGAAACTATAAGAGATACAGTGTCGGTTAAATTAGACAAAAGTTGCGCATTTTGATACCGAACAAGATCCCGTTTTACAAATTTGAAAATTCCAAGCCGTTCCGGAAATATCCGAGAAAAACCGAAATATTGCGATTTCGTTTTTATTATTTTTTAAAGCTATTTGAAAAGATATGAAAAAACGGAAAACACTTTTCCATTGGCACTTTTTAATCTCTCCAAATTGACGTTAACAAATTTTCATTACAGCGTTTCGATTCCATGGAACCACCATCAACTTTGATTTTTCTTATGGGACGGAAAAAAAGTACACACAGTATTAGGTTGTGCTTTTCATTGCGAATTCAACGATGTACGATACAATACGGTTACTTATGTTTTTATCCAGAAAAATGGCTTTTTAATACATTTCTAGTATTTTATTGTAGTAGGTCATGAGATCCGAACGATGAAAGGCAAAAGAAAATGGTTGACAAGTTCGAGTTAATGTGTTTATTTATTTACTAACTCTAACTGTTCATTTAACATAACAACTAAATCCAACAAGTTAATGAAAAACAAATTCTATAACAAATGTTCGAATAAATGACCTCCATTTTCTAGGCATAAGTACGCCCGTCTCACGGTAGACTCCAAAACACGACTTAACATTTCAGGAGTAATTTTATTAAACGCTGCTCGTACTGATTGACGTAATTGTTCCTCGTTGTCAAAACATTCTTTGAATACCTCATTTTTTATGTAGCCCCATAACAAAAAGTCCAAGGGAGTTAAGTCCGGGGACCTTGGAGGCCAAGGTGTTTCACTGTAAGTCCCAATGTATTTTCCATCAAACCGTTCAGTTAAATATTGGCGAACTTCTCTGGAGTTATGGGCTGGGGCACCATCTTGTTGGAACCAGCAGCCTTGCACAGCGCCTAGCGGTAAATCATCTAAGGCATCTTCTAAATCGTGCCTCAAGATGTCAAGGTACCGCTCGGAAGTTAAGGAATTATTATAGAAAATAGGGCCTATAATCTTGCTACCAAAAATCCCACACCAAATATTAAACCCAAAGCGAACTTGATGTCTGGATAGTCTATTAACACGTGGATTTTGTCGCGACCAATAGTGTGTATTGCGCCTGTTATAAATACCGTTATTGGTCACCATACTTTCATCAGACCAAATCACTTTATATGAAAAATTAAAACTCTCATCACACATCCTGGTATACCACTCACAAAAATGTCTACGTCGTTCGTCGTCACCCGGTTTTAATCCTTGACATATTCTGAATTTGTAAGGCTTAAATTCATTTTTCCTTAAAATAAACTGAGCTGTAGATTTAGCTACCCCATTCTGGTCTTCAATTTCTCTGGTAGAAGTTTGTGGATTTTCGATAACAGATTGTAGAACAATGTATTGGTTTTCTTCATTGGAAGGTTTTTGTCGGGATAATGCAGGCTTCTTAAATGATCCATATTCTTTCAGATTAAATAACAAACGCCGAAAAATACTCTTGTCAGGTTGTCTCCGCTCTGGGTATTTGTTAGAATACATACGCTCGGCTTCCACACAATTTCTTTGGCATCAGATGTAGCAAGACAGCATATCACATTTTTCTTCGTTTGTAAAATTACCTCCCTCCATTGTAGAACAAAATAAATTAGAAAAAGACAACAACAATAAATATACAAAAACAATAACTAAAGGAATAAACTTATGATCGACTGATAACAAAGACAAATAACATTAATGTGTCATTGAAATTGACTGGATGTCATTTTGTCATGGCCTACTCCATTTAAATGCTGAAATGTATTAAAAAGCCATTTTTCTGGATAAAAACATAAGTAACCGTATTGTATCGTACATCGTTGAATTCGCAATGAAAAGCACAACCTAATACTGTGTGTACTTTTTTTCCGTCCCATAAGAAAAATCAAAGTTGATGGTGGTTCCATGGAATCGAAACGCTGTAATGAAAATTTGTTAACGTCAATTTGGAGAGATTAAAAAGTGCCAATGGAAAAGTGTTTTCCGTTTTTTCATATCTTTTCAAATAGCTTTAAAAAATAATAAAAACGAAATCGCAATATTTCGGTTTTTCTCGGATATTTCCGGAACGGCTTGGAATTTTCAAATTTGTAAAACGGGATCTTGTTCGGTATCAAAATGCGCAACTTTTGTCTAATTTAACCGACACTGTATCTCTTATAGTTTCCGAGATCCCCATGCTGTGCATCCTTATCTTGGACACACTGTATATATATATATATATATATATATATATATATTTAATTGTAGCTTAAAACTTTAGAAGTGATGTAATGAAAAAATTTTTCTTTAAATTTGTAAGAGACGGCCCTCACGTTGGGCGCCAGTTTGTAAGGGAAGGGTTTGTGGGAACACGGAATTAAACAGTTTCCCTGATAACGTATACACTCACGGTATACACACAACACTCAAAATTTAACTTCGAAAGTTCAAAAATAACAGAACACTCGTTTCCAAGAATCGTCGTATAAGTTGTCTATTCATTATAGATAAACTAAATTAGCGCCAAAATTACCCGGTCTGATATAGATGCAGCTCCAGTATAACGATAAAACGTTGTCTTCTTTTAAGTAGGCTTCGAAAAAAAAAATGGAAGACTTGCGTCAAATAGGTTTTTATTGACAGCGTTTTAAACAAGACGTGTCTGAAAAAATGTCGCAAATAACACAAATTGAGTATAGAGCAGTTTTTGACAAAAGAAGGGTTAGCACCTAAAATTATTAAAGAAAGGCTGGATGGTGTGTACGGCCAAAGTTCTCCTTCGTATTCTGTAGTGAATGAATGGGCAAAACGTTTTCGAATGGGGCAGGAGTCGCTTGAAGATGATTCAAGAACTGGTCCACCAGTGGAGGTCATAACGGAAGATATTGTTGCGATATTGAGTGATCGACGTTTAAAGGTTTTAATTTTAAATTTTTAAAATCTTAAATCTAAGAAATTACTAAGCTTTCTGACACGAGTGTTCGTCGAATCCTGCATGATCATTGAGGTATGCATAAGGTTAGTGCAAGATGGGTTCCAAAAAACCTTTCGGCTATTCAAAAACAACGTCGTGTGGAGTGTGCGCGGTCATTTTTGGAACTCTGTGAGTGGAACCGAAACCTGTGATGAAACTATTGTGACGGCAGAGGAAACTATGGTTCTCTATTATGACCCTCTATCGAAAAAAGAATCAATGGAGTGGCGTAAGGGTGAAGCACCTCCAAGAAAATTCAGAGTCTGCCAACAAAAAGGGTGATGGCCACGATCTTTTGGGATTGTGAAGGAATTCTTTTGATAGATTGCGAAAGTGCATACGTGTAAAACGTTTGCACGATAATGCATAATGCAGAGAAGTAATAAGTGTATTGAAGTTAAGGGGGATTACATTGAAAAATAATAAAAAATTCTTCTTTACTTTGTTTTTTATTCGGGCCGGGAAATTTTGGCGCTGCCGTCGTAAGTTTTAGGCATATAAAGCGTGTTTTAAAAAAATTGTTTAATACGCAATGTCTGTCACATTATGTGTGATTTTTCGGCAACAGTATTAGGTGTTTGTCCAAGTCAACGCATATTCCCATGTTCTCTCCGCACGTTGTTTTATTTATTCACGTTTTTATCAGTTATTAAGTAAAGTATGGAATCTAATATTAAACGTAGTTGCAGGAGGAGTTCTATAATTCCAGACCCATAATGCAAGCATAATACAATAGCATATTATGCAACAAGTGTGGTGAACGGCAGTTGACTAACGAGTTCATTTGACACGAGCGGAGCGAGTGTTTAATAAACGAGTGACTTAAAAAGTTTACCGAACGTGTTGCATAATATATTTTTTCTTCGACCGTTAGTTTTTGGATATATTTTTGCAAAACAACGCGAATACAATAACTGACACGACCGCCAGAATAGACAAAAGTCAAAATTTAAGCCGTGCGATAACATCTACGAAAACATCCGATTGCTTCCAAATCCGTGCGTTAATATCCCGAAAATGCCCGAAGTGGCTCGGATCCGTGGGGAACGAAACTGACGCGGTAAAATGACACTTTCCGCACGATAGATCGGTGTATAATTAGGTGGTTTACAGAAGGGAGTAGATAAAATTATTTAAATGAGATTAATATTGAGACGTTGGGCTGGCCTTCACGGAGTCCATACCTTAACTTGACTTAATAGAAAATAATAAAAATGGAAAATGGAAATAAGCCATACTTGAACATAAAACGTAAAGGCAATAATAAAAAAACAAAATATATTACACATAAAGAAGATTTATATTCGTTGCTATTGTTGATGAATTTAATATCTTTATCCGTTTTAAAATTATTCAAATTTTTCGAAATTTATTTTCTCTTGCAATTAAGATTCAGGATTGTATCGTCTCTTCTAGCACACGACTTGGCAGGAAGCGATCAAGGAGGTTTCAACGATCCATACGTTCGTTTAGCGATAGTACCTGAAGTAGATACACGAAAGCGACAAACGGCTATACATAGAAACGATCCCAATCCACTTTTCAATCAACTTTTTAAGTTCCCTGTATCCCACGAGGAACTTAAGTCCAAATGCTTATTACTACAAGTTTTCGACTACGATAGATTTTCTAGAAACGACATCATCGGAGAGGTGAGTTTCAGAATATTGTATCGGTTGTAGTTATAATTACGCCAAGCACATTATAATGTCATTGCGTTAAATGAATATTAGTAAATCGGATTCCTAGACTGCAGATCACTCCCAACAGATAATATTATGCAACAAATTTGATAAACGAGGCTTTAGTCACAAGTTTGTTTTGGCACGAAAGGAACGCAGCGGAACGACCGTAATATAGTCATCGAGTGACATGTGACGTGATCATGAGAATTGATAAACATCAAAGTTCCATTCGCGGTTAAAATCTACCGAAAACCCGTGACTAAAGTACCGGAAATGTCAGAAGTGACTCGTGACCATGGGTTAGAAGGCTGACTTCCTAAAGTGACAATTACTATACGCTTGTTAGGGGCATATTTGGCGCTTTTAAACTAAGGAGCATAAACACAAAATTAATTAGCATTTTTCATTCTATATTTAATAAAAATAAAAACAAAACGGAAAAAAGAATTTCAACTTTAAGTACCAATTTTTATTAATTACATAAATTACTAGTTGAAATGTTTCTTGTGTGTTTCTAATGCAAATTTTAAATGTGTCTCAAGTCGACCCCTACAGAATTCAATATTTATTTACCGTAAAAAAAAATCATCTAAGTTAATACACAGGTGTAATTCGATGTTCGATTGAAATTTCCTGAATATTTGCTATTAGGTTTCAATGGCACTAAGCGATATCGATATCGCGAACAGTATAGAGATATGGGGTGAGATAACGAAAAACAAAAAGCCACCGGAAGAACTGCAAGAAATACTCATTTCATTGAACTACCTGCCTTCAGCCGAAAGGTTGACTTTAAGTATCGTCAAGGCGAGAAACTTGTTCCTGCCCCAAGATAAAGACTGCATCGGTAAGTTTTTCCTTCACAATGTAATGTGTTAGTTTTGCAAAAAAAAAAAAGGCAAAAGCAATGTTATTTACGTTATTTCTACAGATCCCTTCGTGAAGGTGCATTTAATAGTAAATGGAAAACGAATAAAAAAGAAGAAGACTACAGCGAAGAAGGCAAACTGCGATCCGGTTTGGAATGAGGCCCTACCGTTCAATCTGTCTTCTTCGAGCATACCACACACAGAACTTGAGGTGCTTTAGTATATTGTTTACGTTTTTGATTCGACAACAATTTTCGGGCTCGACAACGGCGGTGGCAATATTCAACAAGTCACTTCGCATAAAACATAACGGAACTATTTACACACTCCTATTCCACTATACACACGACTGATAATTTAAATAACGGCTCTATTTTTATCTCTCAATTTTTTATATTTGCGCGTTCTGGTGTCCCTTTTTAACTGACTAAGCAAGCGTGTGTGTCTCTCCGTTTTTATAAAAGGCAGCTCCTGCTCACGATAACTGTAGAACCGTCACAATATCTTGACTGTTTTTATTGACAAAGGTGTAAACAGCAGTCAACAATCTTTATTTTTGATGTGCATCGGGGTCTCTAAATTTTATATATTTTCTAATCATATATATTTTAAAAAATAAAATATATATTTTTAAATAGTTATGTTATTACAAAAGGTTTCGGTGGGCTATAAAGTGTAAAGTTCTCCTAACAATATACCATTTTTACAACCTTTTATGGTTTTGACTTCGGAATGACTTTAAGACCCGCCTGTTGTAAAGCGGAAGGGGCCATTCTTTTCAGCACGTGTAACACAGGCCAGGGCCGTATTTAAAATGTTAGACGACAAGAACTCTGCTGTGCGGATTGTTGTATTTTAAGAGTAGGAAAATTTTCTTTGATTAAACTTGAGGTAGCTAGATTTGAAGTTGCATTTGCCCATTAGATAAGTTGATCTCCTATATTAAAAACACATTAGAAAGCTTAAACTGATTTCCAATTTAATGACTTAAAAATATTTCCCCAGGGGAGTTCAGTGACGATAGTGATTATTTTGATGTAGAATAACTTTTTTTTTTATAAATATTCTAACATCCTTGTATAGCTAAATTTACTCCTTAATTTATATTTATAATAAACATTTTAAAGTAATAGTGGGATTTTCCACTGCATGGACTAATAATAACTGAGGAATCACCGAAACTTTACACAAATCCGTCAGCTTTCAGCATTTGTATGCACGAAGTACCGAAGTACGGTTATCGAACGTCATTGCGGAATTGCGAATCTATTTGTTGAGTTTGAGAGAAACCCAAGCGAGGTTGGCCTGCGGTTACACCTTCATAAAAATTTACCAAAAGTTAAATACCAGGTAATATCGCAAAAACGGTATATCGTTGGGTGGACTGTACATTCTTGGAATGACATGAATTCCACAGAACAGAAGTAAATTTAAATTGGAAGTTTGAAGAACGTTCAGCATTATCTGGTGTGGTTGCTGACCAGTAATCATGAATTATCATGAATAAAACTAAACAAAAGTTATATCCTTTCAGATATCGATTTATGATCAAGGAAACGACATAATGGGCAGTAATCCGTTACTTGGGTGTTGCACAATAGGGCCCAAAAGTTCGGGCTCTGGCAAGGAACATTGGAACGATATGATGCAGAGCCCTAGGAAAACGGTTTTCTGTTGGCATACAATCAGGTAAACTGTTCCGATAAATCCGCAGGATCTGATTTTTGCGAAGGCGGTAGGGGACATGATTGGGGATTTGAAATGCACATTGTGAACAGGGAAATTCGTAACTCGATAATGTAGCAAATTTCCTGCCAATAGTCTCACATCGAAATTTAAACACCAACCACCGGCAACTAACCGACCCCTAATATCGTATACACATTTTACAAATTTGGAGATACGCGTTAGACGGGACGCTTTTTTGAAAATAAAATGGCTTTTATAAAAGACAAAGAGTTTGAAAAAACATCCAAATCGATATTTATATAAGCTATATTTATATAATTGCTAATTGAATCCCTGTATCTTACAAAAATTTACATAATTCTGTCCCATCGTCATGCGTAGGGCCTAGTTATACAGTGAAAGAAATAGCATTAAATTATATCACATTTTAAGCTTATTTCGACTGTAACTGCTAGCAATTATATTTCAGAATTCTTGCTTACTAAAGTTAATTATCACAAATTTTTTATAAAGTATTTCACAACTCGAATTTAATAAATAAATATTTAAAGATGGTTTTAAAGTATTATTAAATTTTAAGTCAATTATGTTATATTCAAACAGTAATGTACCACATCACACATCACCTTTCCGAAACACTCTGTATAGTCCACCGTGCGGTCAACGCAGAGGTAAGAACATTCTCCAGGCATTAAAAAAAATGTTTTTTCCTTAATTGATTGAAACAAACTTTTTTAGTGAGTAGTTATTTCAAATATTTAATTTAATTATTCTTAATACTCCTCATGTCATGATTGCGTCCGCAATAGTATTTTTCTGTCATTGATGAAAAACTTACTATGTGTCGGGGTTAAGAAAATGTTACATACACTCTGTTATTTATATCACGTAACCTATAACTTGATCTATATCTATCCTTAGTCTGGGCAGATGTACTCTTGATAGATTATTCAAGGTAAGTGTCCGAGATTTGTTGAATGAGAAGGTGAATAGGCGAACAGAGTAAATAGTCTAGATTCGTATATCTGGAGGCCTAAAAGCTTGGTAAAGACTCAAGGTAATTTATTGCAGAGGCTTTTTGAAAACATTGGCAAATCTGTGTTCAGCTAATGATGGAAACCTAAGCAAATCTTGTATTTCATTGTCTAGTTAAGAATATCCCTGTAAATGTCTTTTAACTCAAATTATTGGCACTTTCGATAGCTGGTAATCGGAACACAAAAAAGTTATTTTTGTAAAGAACATTTATTTAAATTGACGAATTTTACAGACCTTTTTTTATATATTATTACATATGAAGAGGTATAAGACGGCGTTGCAAAAGGCACGCGTGTCCTTTAACTAACCAAAACTTATGCGTCTATCTTAATGTTAAATTATAATAAATGTTAATTAGACACTAACGTAAATATATTTATTTTATCTACCAATAGGTATATTTTATCAAAAAAAAAAACGGTATGCCGGTAGGGGTTTAGGAGACTACAATTTGTTCATGTAAATACTAATTTATAGACAAGGTGTTTTCTCAGTACTGCCCGCAACTTTCGAATGCAATTGCTTACGATATAATAAAAGGAGAAAAGCGTTCGCCACATTTTTTGAAACGTTTTATTTTATTTTATTTTACAACGTTAGCAATTGTATACTCAAACTCAATTTTATTGAAAAATCGCCATCGGTCGCGCTACGTTGGTTAATATGTGAATTTAATTTAATTTAACAAGTACCACAACTGAATAAAACAACAACTTTTCCGGCAGATTAAATTTTGTTCATTTTCATCTTTCATATTAATTTTAATTTTTTACCTCTATACGCTTAAATAATTATGACTAAGAAAATAGAAAACATATTTTATGTATAAATTAAAAAACAAAGCGAAGCTTGGCGGGAGAAGAACAAATAAAAAATGCATTACGTTTCAGTGAAAAAAACTTATGAATAGGTGTAAATTTTAACATGACAATCAATTTTTGTTAAAATCAGGAATGTTTTTGAAAGAGATCGATATTTCCATTTTATATTCCTGCACGCGAGATGCAAAATTACCGTTGTATCACACCGTAACTAACCAAAAAATATTGACCATTTTTACGTAACAAAGGACGGGGTCAAAATTATATCAAACAAATTAGATATCGCCTGTAACCTCGATGTTAAGTTATAAAATGAATTGAAACTGAAAACGCTTATTAAGATAAAAAGTATTTAATTTATAATTACATAAGTATAATATAGATGTGTAAGTGTTACTTTCAGAAATTTATGAATGTTGTATTAGTACTATAAACAATATACATATTAATATGATATATATATATATATATATATATATATATATATATATATATATATATATATATATATATATATATATATATATATATATATATATATATATATATATATATATATATATATATATATATATATATATATATATATATATATATATATATATATATATATATATATATATATATATATATATATATATATATATATATATATATATATATATATATATATATATATATATATATATATATATATATATATATATATATATATATACATGCGTACTAATGAAATTATTGTAATATAAGTAAAGTATATGTAAAGTTTGAAAAAATAAAATTAAAACTATTTTTTCTCAACAAATATGCAAATTTAAGCTGAATTTTAAATATAATTATACTGCGCAAATGTGGGACGAACTAATTCAGTAAAACAGCTCATTAATCACAACTAAACACCGATTGTTGGCTCATATCGATCCCTATACAATGATTTCGTATCTTTAGCGTCAGTAGATTTTATCCATTAGAATAAGTGCTCAAATGCCGATTTCTTGCACAATGTTGACAATATGTTCTTTTTGCCGCATTTAAGGCTTATAAAGGTGATGGCTGCACGCATGGATAGTATTCGCTGTATGACTGAAAAGCGCCGCCGTGATTGCTAAATACGTTTGGTTACAGGCCATTAGGTATTACGTACTTACAAGAGTGTTCATGTTTAAGTTGTTAAGACCTTGCGCAACACCTCAGATGTCGTGTCGATTCCGGCGTTTCACAACACGGTCTCCGACAATTAGTCAATTCGACAAGTGTTAGTTTGAATGTGCTATTTCCGGCAGTATTTTATATTTTAGATGTGGGCGTAACCATGGCGACCGGGCATATTGTGAGAAAATGCCGCAGTGAAAATTGTCGAACTCATGAAATGTCAGTTGTCTTTTATGGGTTATAAGCGACGTTTGGGAGATGAATGGCGCATTAGCAGATACTGATCCTCGACACTTTTTTGATTTTTGTTACGAAAATACTTATATTATCAGAATGGTAAAGCCTATATATACATCCAATATGGGTGTAATAATTTTACCGTATTTACGGCCTTTATATTAACTATAAATAGCGCAATTTAAACGGTTCTTTTCAGCTATCGACAGCGATTACTCAAGGACTCTGGTAAAAGCATCACAATTTAATTAGTGTAGATTTACTTAAAACTTATTTATAAATTAAGACTGAAGGCAAAGCAGTATTATATCGCAGTGAAATCCGTGACGAAACATGCATTGTTAGGAAAAATTATATTTAACTTTCAGACTTCTCCTTACAGTATACTAGTTTATATGTAATCAAAATAAATTGCGCCCACTTCAATCAAGATTACTAATATTTAACTGTTACGATACGAAGTACCTACCTAGTTTTAAAAAAAGCATACATACTTGCAACTATATTGATAAATGATGTATTCTTCTAATTGAAACGACTGTCAAACAATAACATTAATACTTTAGTAGTAAGTATGCCTAGTTTATTATATCCCGTAATAGTTGTAATTTATATGAATACAATATCCTATAGTCGCATACATAATAAATGTACCTGTGATCTTTAAAATCTAGCACTTATAATCGCTTGTGCTTTATTAATAATATATACAAAATGTAACATAGATACTTACCACTTTTATTTAGAAGTCAAGCACACGAAAGGGTTATTATATAAAAAAATATTCAATTAATTCAATTCAATTTGTTCAGTTCACCAATACATTGGTCATTGTAAGGTCGTTTTTCACACGAACCTGCGCTCACCTGAAATCACATATTTTGTAAATTTAAATTAACCTCTTCATATACCAAGTAAAATAATTATAAAATATTTTTTTATAATCTCGAAACTAAGCATTCTTTACCAAAGTTTCCCGATAAAGTTCAAACTATTTGCAAAATTGTAAATACGCAACAAGAACTTGTAACTGCTAGATTATATAGATGTTGTTGTGGTTATCTGATTATTTATATTTTATGTCCAATGTTATATGTCGTGCAAATACATATTTATTTTAACGAGTAAACAGCTATCAGTATGTTATTTATAAATGTGTTTTATTTATAAAATCTTGTTAAAGAAAAGTATTTTTATTCAGGTTCCAGAAATCAATAAATCAAAAACTTACAAGGTTTAAGACGCTGATTTTAAGTGTTTGATGCATTAAATTTATTTCCCCAGTGAAAAGGGCGCAAACTCAAATTTTCAACACAGGAGCCCTTCATTTCATAAATCTCAAAAATACCTAGAGGATATTGATGTTTTTTCTTAAACAGAAGTTGAGGAACATATAGAAAGTACACTTGTTAGAGAATTTAAACATTTTGCTGATCCGTGTCATTCATGGTCCGCGATCTATAGTCTGCGATGCGAGTGCAGGATTTTGTCCTTATAATTCAGTTTGTACCAAATGATTACATGTAATAAAACTCAAAGTTAAAATCAGCTTGCCCAATTTATTCCACTACTGTGGAAAGTCAACAACACCTATCTAAATTTAAATAATTATACACAATCTTAACAAAAAGATGATGTATTATGGTTAACTGGTATCACATTGCTTTGAATTTCTACATAATCTTTAACCCCGCTTTTTTTCACTCTTAATTTAATTTCCGGCGAATCACAATTGTCAGGCCACCCTGCAACAATCTGGACCACTGAGCCTTTGTCTATATAGCCCCTCTCGTAGGCGGACGCCAACTGATTAACAACCCGCCTCTCCACTTCATATTTGATGGATCTAGCGCCGTAGCAAACATCGTAGCCGTCTACCAATGCAGATTCTACATTTCTGTCCCATTTAATCTCAATTTTGTGTCTATCCTTTGCCTAAATTTATAAAAGGATTCGAGTTTATAGGAAAAAATTATCAGACTCTTTAAAAAGTCGAATTATTCAGAATTCGACGAAACCGAAAGAAAGACAAATGAATTTAATACGAAAGTAGCAAACAAAATAATACATCGCGACGTTAAAGAAGCTTTTATTACATTTGTTCAAATTTTTGTTTTTGATATATATTAAAAATTGTGCCCCCAAACTAATTCAAAATTGTTTAACAGTCTTTATAATGGGCATAGATAGTTTCGAAAAATTTGACTTCATCAATTTAGCATCTTTCGTCATGCGTATTGGCTCAAATTTAAGTTTCTGCAGTAGATCCAATTAAAATTAGATGTTTTGCTGTTTATAATGCTTCGCCTTCTACAAAACTCCGACCTTCACATTACACTTTAAATACGATAAAAATGGTATTTATCCGTCACTTTTCACAAACCACATACCACGAAATATGATGAATAATCACTAATACTTTATTGCCGCTTATTCAGGAAGAATGTTTATGTGTAAACATTGAGATTGCAAGTAAAAGGAGCACTTTTGTTTACGTTTTGCAGCACCACCATCGGAGAATACCTTCACGGATAATCCTTATGTTTGACTAGAACTATCGAACATTTCTTATTCGTTAATCATAAAATTATCATAGTTCTTAATGAGGATTCTTAGAAATTTGCAATTCCTAATTGATTATTTTGGTTGTGAACGATTCTAAAAATTCCGAAATAAAACGCGAACTGCTTGACAATTATTTGTTCGCACATGCGCAGTATGCATCAACTCAAATTACACCTAATGCTAGAAGTTTGGTAGACGTTTGGAGAAATGATTTTCAACAATTTGATTAGATGCGATGATTAGCATTCAGTATTAATTAATCCTGTTTGTACTGAGTTGAGATACACATACCTTAGAATTTTACCAACTTAGCTTAAAATTTATTAAAGTAGGTGTGTTATGTCATTAACTGTAGAATATTGCATTTATTTAAAATTCCCAAATAATTTTAAACAATTCTGGAATTAATTTTCAAGCGCATCTAATTTTTTAAACCAAAACAAACGTATTACGAGTAAAAAACTAGCCGCTTGTATGGTAGCTCATGCAACAAAAATATAAATTTGAACAAACATATTGTTGTAACGAATAAAATTAGCCTGCACGAAATACGTAGTAAATGCAGCAAATCATTCGAGTTTTGAACATTTAAACATAATAGGGACTTAAATTTGTATACAGGATGGTCAATTTAAAAGGCTCACCATATCACAATACAGTGTGAGTTAAGTTAGAAAAAAGTTACATTTGTTAATTTCTGTTTAATATATGTTAATCTAATATACATCCACTGAAGTCCTATATTTAAATCAATACTCAATCAATCAATCAACGCAGATGCAGGGTTTATACTGAGATCAGCGATTTTTTTAATTTAAAATCTAACAGAGCAGAACAATTTAAATAAGAGTGTTCTGTTTTACAAGAAATCGAACTTTATTGAAAATCAAAATTCAAAGTCAAATACCAGATAAATAGCAATCAACTAATTTGTCTGTCATGGCAGACTCCTTTCAGTTCATTCACTTTGAAGTACTGGTGGTATCCTTGTCCTTTTACCAAATGGCTTCAATAAGGCGTCCACCGGCAAATGAAATGTCACTGATTAAAAATCGAATGTAAACATTTTCATAGAAAAACTTATTATCAAAAACATAAATGATGCAAAATTGACAATGGACAAAGTAAATCCAGAAAAGTTTTGAATGTCTTAGTTTTGATGCAACCTTTTTATAATTTAACCGCTGCTGTATTAATAAAAGTTTTCAGGTGTGAAAGTAGGCAAACGTCATCTAGGTAGTACTAGTAATATGTAGCTTACTTTTTTGGCCCATGATTTTAACTCTCGATCCACAAGTTCCATCAACTCACGCCTAGAGAATGGCAGAAAATACACAATTTCATTAATCCGGCCCAAAAATTCATCCCTCTTAAAGTGTTTCTTTAAAATTGGTTTTACTTGCTCATCTTTGAATTTTCTTGAAATCACAATATTGTCAGTTAACGTTTTTTCATCTGTAAAAGCAGTTAATATTCGTTGGATCGTCTCAAAGAAAATAATTGTAAATTAAAAAATAATAGCTTGGTTCTACAAAATCTCCTTTAAGTGAGATCACATACAACTTGACCGTCATAGCTTGGGAGTATGTTGCTGGGGTGATTTCAAGTTAAAAATGTCAAATGTCAATTCCGGGTATATGTTCATTTGACATTTCTAACTTAAATCACCCTGGCAACACACTCCCAAGCTATAGCAGTCATGTTGTGGGACACCCTGTATAAATAATTAATTTGAAAACAAAATATCTTATTTACCACCTCCATACCTTTAATGTTAGCCATTAACCTCTGGTTTTTAATCTTTTCACCCTCTTCTCTTAAACGCAAGGCGTGACGGGCGATCTCCTCACTAGCTAAGTTGGATGTCATAATAAAAATGGCATTTTTGCATTCAATTGTTTTTCCTTGTCCATCAGTTAATCGTCCTTCATCAAACAGCTGGAGCAATACAGTTAACACATCAGGATGAGCCTTTTCAACCTCATCAAACAAAACTACAGCATCACTGCATTTTTTTAATTTTTTGGTTAGTTGGCCACCTTCATCATGCCCTATATATCCAGGCGGTGCACCAATCAGCTTGGCAACTTCATGCTTTTCTTGAAACTCAGACATGTCCAAACGTATAAATGAGTCCCTTTTATTTTTGTGTATATAAGCAGCTAACTGTTTAGCTAATTCTGTCTTTCCAATACCAGATGAGCCCAAGAATAAAAAGACAATTGGATGATCTTCATCTGCCCAGCCATTTTCCTTTCTTCTAACAGCTGAGAGGAAATGTCTAATGTAACAGAAAATTAAACCACAGAAAAGTGTTCAAAACATTAATTCAGAGTCAGATATTAATATTACACAACACATCTACAACTTACTAGCCGCTACAATTGAGATAGCTCCTTCTTGTCCAACTATATGCTGTTTAAGCCTATCTTCTAATGGAAATCTCCTTCTTTCTTCTATTTCTTTGTTTTTAAGAAATTCTGCATACTAACAAATGCATATATTATATTGTTAACTTGAAAAACTTATGTAGTACAAGTTTTTGTCTATATATGATTGATTCTATATAATTTACCTTTGTTGTCTGTTTTTCCAAATATTCCTTCATTGGGCCTTCTTTAGCATAACTCACTGGCATATGACCAGAATCATTCTCTATACATGGGTTAGCACCATTCTCTATCAATAATTTTACAATATCTAAAGAATTTACTAGCACTGCATAATGCAATGCAGTAAAGCCCAAAAAATTTGCTCTGTTGTTAAGAATGCTGGAAAATTCATCTTCCCTAATCATGACAACTAAAATATGGCTTTTGGCAATTTTGGTTTCATGTAAAAATAAAAATTACAACCTTCAATTGCATGCATTCCTTGCTCTTGGGCTATTTTACTTGCACTGGAATAATTATCCCCCGTATTCAGTTCGGCCCCATTTTCTAAAAGAATTCTCACCATATCGTAGTTTCCACTAACCGAGGCCACCATAAGAGCAGTCCAACCTAGTTTATGGCGACAATTTACATTGACACCTCTTTCAATTTGACTGACAAAAAATGTATTAACCTCAAGCTGTTTTACAAGTGCCTGGCTTACCTAATTACTTCGCTTTCAATGCCTCTTTGAACAGCTTTAAAAAATGTCTTCTCTGAAAAATTTGTAACCGACTCACATGCTGCAATGGATAAAGCAGGGAGAAAAAACATAAGAGAAGGAAACTTCAGGTAACGCGAGCTATTGTTTTCCTGCTTTTCATGATAATTTCTATAAAACATTGGTTTGTTGTTCAAGCGATTAAAATTGCAGTCAATCCCAATTTGAAATCTTTTATTTGGGACGTGTCTGTTCCAAATCCGATGTAAATTAAATAATTTTGTAATTTTCATGTTTTGAAGCCGATTTCTAAACAATCAAATTTTTTAAGGCTAGGATATTATGCCTCTTCTTATTTTCTTTCAAATATTAAAACATGGCGCAGAATATTGGTTGAACATATTCCGTGTAGAAATCGCAAGATTCGTTTTTAGTTTTGTTAGTCAATTGAAAAAAATTGGGAGTGATTAGGATGATTGTTAATTCTAACGATTTGTAATTTTTATACTTGGCAGAAATTTTGTAGTTTCTTACTTGTTAAATATGTCATTACATCTACTAACTGAAACTGCTACAATCATTTTGTCAAAAATCAACTAATCCTGATTGCTGGCCCAGATGTTAACAGTTCATTACTTTTCTCTATGCTTCTAACCTAATGAGTAAAACTTGTTTACATGAAGTGAATAACATAATACAAGATGATAGAAAAATCAAAAATTAAAACCAGAGCAAGGAAGTCAAAAGTAATTGCTTTTGACGACGAAGTGGTAACCAAAGATAGTGCGAAAAAAATCCTACAACAGCAATTCAAATATGGTGAATTCAAAACAGAAAATATCAATATGCAATTACCTGTCAGCAGTGGTAACACTTCACTCTCTAAAACAAACAGAACAAAGCACAAATTAGATAACTTGGATGTGGATCAAAAAGCAAAGCATATTAAAATTTCAAACAAAAAAATACAAGACAGAGAGCAAGTAACAGAAAATATGGAAACAGAAGGCAATGATATTAAATTAGATTCAAAAGCTGTTCAAAAGCCAAAAAAGGAATCAATAAGGTCGAAAAAGCGCGAAAAACATGCTCAGTTAATACAGGAGAAAAAAATTAAAGTGCAACTAGACTTTCAACAAAAAGCACTAAATTACTTATCAAATTGGAAATATTGCCGCTCCCAATGGAAATTTGAAAAACTCAGACAAATTTATTTGCAACAAAATTTATTTGACTCCGATAAAATTCCTCAGAAATTTTGGGAAATTGTGTTGGAATATTTCAGCGGGGCAAAAGGGCAATCCAGGCAGTTGGTTTTGGATGCAGCCTTGAAGATAGTAGAGCAAGAGCAAAATTCAGGAGAAACTGTTCAAGAGGAAAAAATTAAAAGAGCGCAAGATATTTTGCAATATTTACAGTAGCAAGTAAATATTAATAAACATATTGTAGTTTTCTTTATAAGGACCTGAAATTGATAAAACATTCGTTTTCCTCTCCTTTTTTATTTAGATTTTTTTACATGTCAAACAAAAATGTGGGTATTAGCGTCTATAAATGTAAAATCCTTATTCGAGTACTCAGACTTGTCAAGAATATCTATGCATGAACTAAAATATTTGCGAGAAATCTAAAGGAAGAAAAACGTGGAAACAGTTGTCTAAAAAATTGTTTATTTAAAAGTACAGAGAATGATTGACCGTGGACGCAGAAAATTATAAAGATGATACTAGGAACAACATTTTGAATGGAATAAAAGTTTCTGTGAATGTCATTTAAATACAAAATAGCCAAATGTACAACACACGCTCCTCTTGACGCATGAAAAAAACTAAAGAAATTTTTATTACATCTTTTTGCACTTAACATTTACATTACATTTATATACAAAGAAACCCTAATTTTTACAGGGAACATTTTCATTAAATTTCAACAATAAACATGTTTTAACAAGATTCTTTTTGTACATGCCAGAAACAACACATTAAAGATTTAGTATAGCAATGTTGCCAAACAGGACAAAATACTTTGTATTTTAACTTTATGAAATCTTTGTTTCTGTACATGTAATCTGTGTATTCCTATCTGGCAGTACTTGAATTGCTAAATTGGCAAATCCCATTACATGATTGTAAAGGAAATATTTAAATGGACCACCTAGAATGTTGTCCAATACCAACATAGCATTTCTTGCATTTACGTCATACATGTGACACTAAATAATAGACACGCGAATGAGAAAAAGTAACATTAAATTCACCTAAAATACGATTTTGGAAATAAATAAAATGGTGTATATATTTACATCGAATACGTGCTACTTATAGCTACAATTAAAAAAATAATTCACTATCTTTTTTGCAGCCTTAATTAAATAATATACTAAAGAAAACCATAAATAACAAACCTGTGCCTGGATACAAAAAAAAAACACGACAAACAGTGGGAACAACTGCAGTAATGGCCTAAAACAAAGGGCAATGTTTTTGAAAATGTGGAGATTTATTTTCAAGTTTGAAACGACCACATATGTAGGTGCTAAAGAATCCATGACAACTAAAGTTTAAAAAAACAGGACACATTTCTGAAAAAAAAGTAATGCAAATATACTAAAAAAATGGCATTCATCTGCTTGGTCCTAAGTCGTCGTTCACTTCTAATTTCATTTTGACCAAGCACAGAATTTGCTATGAAGTGAGTTGGTAATGCATCGAATTAATAAATCTGGTTTATCAACATCAAACAGCCACTTCCAAAAATCAAACAAAGTATCTCACAGCAAGTTACATAAAATGCATTTTTTATATTAAAAGTATAAAAAAACATGGTTACGCAGTTATTGCAAATAAAAAGGACTTGTTTTTTCCTCGCAATATCACCTTTTTTGATTCATTTTCATACTTGAAACTGAAAATCATTATAAATTCATATCTGCTAATATGGCAAAAACCGTGGGGCAGCAATTTTTAAATTATAATAGAATTCAATTTGTAGTTCTTTATCAAATTTGTAATGTGCATATGATATTTAAAGGTAATAGGCGAAAAGACTAAACATATTTTGAATTAATATTTTGTTACCTGAATTTTTAAAAATAACCAAACAAAAATTTGCAAAATTCAAAAAAGTGTGAAAAATGAAAACTCGCTTCCCAGACCCTATTTTGTTTTTTTATAAATAAAATTCCCAAGTCAGTCACGTTTAACTTTTAGTCAATAAATGAAAATTAAAGTCAGGCGAGCAGAATTTTTCACCAGGTTCGGATTCTCGCGATGATTTTCTTGTACAACAAACCAAAGTAAACGTTAATCACATCTCGCAGTGAGTACTGGTGGACGGTATGTCAATGGTATGACTCTCGTTACCAAATATTAGCCTAAGCCGTTTCATGGGCAAAGCTGGCAGTTCTTCTTCGACAGTCTCATCCTCTTGGTTCTCCATCTGCTGTTCTTCCATCTGATTATATAAACATACTCTAATTGGTAATCTCAAAAAAGTCCTCCAGAGTTATAATAATAACAACAATATCTTTATTATCGCAGATATTTAGAATACAATCAGTATATTATGGATTTCATCAAGTAGGTCAAAATTAGGTACCAACTATAGATTACATTAAAAATGTATATAATAAAAATATGTGACAGAGCACAACAATATAGTGATAACAAACATTAATAAGTAAAATACTCTTTTAAATTATAAAAACAGTTTTGTAGGAGGAAAAATTCTAGTTTCGATTTAATTATTACTATTGCTTTTTAGCTCTGGGGAAGCCGGTGTGCGTAAAATATTTTTTAGAAAATTCTAGCCTATTTTTTTTTATAGAGAAACTATCTTTGTTATGTGTATTATAGTCGTGAAATTTTGTAAGTTATTTTTGTTTTCATACATCCATAAACAGACTTCTAATATGTATATACACCTTAAAGGCAGTATTTTAAATTCCCTGAAGAGGGGCTTGGCGACACTAAAGCGATATACCTTGTGCCTTTCTTTTGGGATTTGTAAACAGATATTATTTATTAGGAAACAATAAGTAGGTAGCTTTGAAGAAAGTAATTGGCATTGAGTTTCCCAAGATGGGGGTTCGTCAAGTTCTAGTCCCAAAAATTTAGCGTGCTTTTTTATTTCAACCGTCTCCCCGGCCAAGTGAACATTCACAGAAAGATTTTTTTTTTGTTTTGTGGGCATTTGAATATTGGCACACTTGTTTTTTGGACATTCAAAGAGAGTTCGTTGGTGTTAAACCAGCTATTTAGCAATACAAATGCTTAATTTATTCTGTCTTCAAGAGATTGCCTTATTTCAACATACTGCATAAGATTTGTTAAAAACATTCTAAACCGGTTCAGACTTATTCCACGAATTCCGTATTTTGAATTTCGTGGTTCATACAGTAAAACGCCCTGCTAAGATCACAAAATATCCCTGAAGCCGTGCTGACTCTCAGTCAAAATTTTGTTTTAATTTAAATAATCGGTCAAATATTTTAGCAAAACATGATGTGATTGCTATTGGACGACAATATTCTGCAGAATGCTGTGGCTGTAGGAAAAACTCTCTCCGCCAATGATGCATTTATCAAGGAGATTAATAGACTCAGGATATAGTGGGCACACTTTTTGAATAATACAAAACGCACACCATCAGGGTCATTAGAATTTTTATTTTTTATTAAGTTCAATATTTCCTTTTGAGAGACTGGTCTAATGCACATGCTTTCAGAAAAACTTCCAAATTACATTCTAGAAATTAATTTTTGTGCGTTTTGGATGACTTTTTAATTTTGTCATATAAGAAGTATTTTTTACTACTGACGAATTTAAAAATTACTTAAATTAGAATGATTCCGTTATTACCTTAATGCGTCGATCCCTTTTCCTATCCTTGGACTTGTGACGTTTCTTCCTATGAGAATAAGGTGTGTATTGTACTTCGTCATCTTCAACGCCCTCTACCCGTAATACTTCATACTCGGGCTCAAAAAACTCATCGCTCAGGCTATTACCAGATTCGATCACCTCATCCAATACGGGACTTCTTTTCATTCTGAGCGTAAGCTTTACGCGACCGCCGCACCTCTCAGGGGTTTTTTCCGTGTTTTGAATACAATCTGGTGGTGGCTCCGACACAACGTCGTTAAACTAGATAGATAAACCAATCAACAGATGCTAACACCATCAGTTATTAAAAATACTTGTTTCTGTTTGTAAAACACTTGTCTTTTTGGATTTCCAAATTTTTTAAAACTACAAAAAATTGTAAAAGATTTTTATGTATCATTATTATTATTAAAGGTTTAAAATGTTCGGCTTCTACACTGAAAGTATTTTCTAAATTATATATAATTTTGAACATTTACATATTTTCAATATGACATACTTTGCATTTAGAACAGACCTTTAGGATAAGCCCTATGACATTTTAAACACATTTTAACAAAATCATCGACCACTGCAAATAACTTTTAAAAAATCTCAATTGATTATTATACATATAATTTGAAAGAAAAATGTATTAATATGCTCACTGTTTCCACATGCCAGTTGCTATGTTCGATGGTAGTGTGAGTTTCAGCTTTGACTTCCAAATTATCACTGCTGACGTCTTTTAGTTTTGACTGTTCACACTCAACATCTATTTTCTTTCGAAGGCTTAAGGTATCGTCACACGCTTCATCATCATTGAACTCATAAATATCGTTTTTCACAGTATCTCCGCGGTAACCGTCTTGATGGGTCACTTTGTAATACTTTCTGTTAGAATTTCGTGTAGTCCGCCTAAAATTTCTCCCACCCTTGACAGAGTTGCTTTCGTGATTATTATTCATTCCATCGCACTGGGTGCACCTAATTGCGTCTGCTTCCTCTTTTGAATGCTCTCCGTTTGAGTGAACACGCTCCAACGACTCCGTTAAGCATTTATGACTGCGTAATTTAATCCCCGTCTGTTCATCACAAGTGCCTGTACATAAGTATTTCGATAATATGGACTGTGACGATTTTACTCTAATAAAAAGAAAAGATGCACCTCCGAATACTCTTTTGTATTTTACGAAATACACAAGCATTGATTTATTATAATTAGTATTAAAAAATTTGATTAGTTGTTTTTACAAGTGACTGAATTCAAAGTTTTTTGTTTTGAGGCCTCACCTGTTAAAAGCAGGAAAGAAATCTTAAAGTATGCGCTTGATACTAGCTTTTAAGCGGCTGCATAGATGGTGCCTATTAAGGGCTTCAGCAAAAAAATATGAAGATTATTTTTTGGTAGAATAATAATCAGTATATATATTATAGACTAGCTAAGATAGATACAGGGAGTTATTTAATGATTTCTAGGCAATTTTTAAATTAAAAATTTACTGTAAAGGTGTGTCTCGTTTCGAGGTGAAAATGTCAAAGTATTATTTTTGTTTCTCCTGCGTAATTTGAGTAGTACCATTTAAAAAAATCTCATT